TGAGCCACAGCGCCACTTCTGGCTTTTTTCTTTTTTGCTTATGTGGTGCTGAGGAATCGAACCCAGGGCCTCAAGCATGCAAGGCAAGCGCTCTATCACTGAGCCACCTTCCCAGCCCAGAAATACTCTTTAAGTCCATGTTTACCTTTAAGCTCCCTCACTTTCAGATCTGGGAACCCTTCTGTGCAATACTTGACTTGTTTCTTTATTAAAAGAAAAGCTTTGCATATGTCTAAATTAGGGGACCCTTTAAGGATATTGTTTGTATTTTGAGAATGGAGGAAGGTCCGGGTGGGGCTTGAACTCTGGGCCTGAGCGCTGTCCCTCAGCTCTTCAGCTCAAGGCTAGCGTTCTACCAACTGAACCACAGCGCCACTTCCGGTTTTTTCTTTTTTGCTTATGTGGTGCTGAAGAATCGAACCCAGGGCCTCAGGCATGCAAGGCAAGCGCTCTACCACTGAGCCACCTTCCCAGCCCTTATCTCTTTATCTTTATAGGTGGAAATCAACGAGAGCTTGCCCGTCAGAAAAATATGAAAAAAACCCAGGAAATAAGCAAAGGAAAAAGAAAAGAGGATAGCTTGACTACTTCTCAGAGAAAGCAAAGGTGAGTGTACTAAAAGAAACTTTGATTAAAGCCAAATTTTGGAAAATGAAAAACATTTTATTTTTAGTAGTGTTATAGTTTGAGCTCAGTAATTTAAGGCTTACTAGACAAGTGCTCTATCACTTGAGTCACAACCCTAGCCTAAAAAGCTTTTTTAAGCCCTGGTTTGAAACCAGCCCTGACAGAATAGTCCTTAAGATTCTCCGATTAGCTAGCAAAAAGTCAGAGGCGGAGGTTTAACTCAAGGGGTAGAGCACATTTCCAAAAGACTAAAGAATGTGAGGCTCTTGGGACTGGGAATGTGGCTTAGTGGTAGACTGCTTGCCAGGCATGCATGAAGTCCTGGGTTCAATTCCTCAGTACCACATAAACAGAAAAAGCCAGAGATGGTGCTGTGGCTCAAGTGGTAGAATGCTTGCCTTGAGCAGAAGTAGCTCAGGGATAGCACCCAGGCCCTGAGTTCAAGCCCCATGACTGACACCCCCCCTCCCACCAAAAAAAAAAAAAAAAGGCTGAGTAGTACACTCTTGTCATCTCAGCTACAAAGGAAGCATACCTGGGGCAGTGTATGACCTAGGTATAATACAAGTGATAGAACCCTGCCTAGCAAGCAGGAGGTTCTGAGCTCAAACTCCAGTACAGCTGACCAAAAAAAAAAAGAAAGAAAGAAAAAGAATAGCAGAGCAAGCAAAGAAAAAAAGACCCGAACTAATACTGTATACTTTCAATGACAGTTATTATTTGTGATGAGCTTTGCTTGAAATGTCTGTATAGATAGTATAAAAATAGTAAAGTAATAAATAATAGTATAGCTAAAAATAATAGTATAGCCGGGTTCCAGTGGCTCACGCCTGTAATCCTAGCTACTCAGGAGGCTGAGATCTGAGCATCGTGGTTCAAAAGCCAACCTGGGCAGGAAAGGCCAAGAGACTCTTATCTCCAATTAACCACCAGAAAACTGGAAGTGACGATGTGGCTCAAGTGGTAGAGCACTAGCCTTGAGCTGAAGAGCTGAGGGACAGTGCCCAGGCCTAGAGTTCAAGCCTCACGACTGATCAAAATACTACTACTACTACTACTACTACTACTACTAATGTGTAAAAATAGTATACATCAGTGGCCCAGCAATACTTTCAGCTATCCTCTTGGTTCAGAAATAGCCATTGTATACTGAATATACAAATCTTATAAAGGTCTTTGTTAGACATTCTGTATGTATTAGCTCTTGAAAAATGGTATTTGCACCAGTGTATGAATTAGGAAATTAGAGCTACTTTTGTTTGAGATAAGGTTTTGCTGTGTAGTATCCCAGACTGGTCTTGAATTTGGGATCTTTGTGCTTCAGCCACCACCCCAGTGCTGGGTTCACACCCAGTTTGTAGTTCTTAAGTAATATTACTAAGGTTTTACAGCAAGTACAACATAGACCATCTCTACACAGAAAAGTAACCATCACTATTCTTTTCCAGTATATCTTTTTTCTTTTTTCCTTTTTTGTCTTTTTTCCTTTTTCTTTTTTGGTGCCAGTCCTGGGGCTTGAACTCAGGGCCTGGGCGCTGTCTCTAAGCTTTTGTGTTTAAGGTTACCACTCTACCACTTGAGCCATAGCACCACTTCTAGCCTTTTAGTGGTTAATTGGAGATAAGAGTCTAATGAGGGGCTGGGAAGGTGGCTCAATGGTAGAGCACTTGCTTTGCATGCTCGAGGCCCTGGGTTCGATTCCTCAGCACCACATAAGAAAAAAGCCGGAAGTGGCGATGTGGCTCAAGTGGTAGAGTGCTAGCCTTGAGCTGACGAGCTGAGTGACAGTGCCCAGGCCCAGAGTTCAGGCCCCACAACTGGATCAAAAAAAAAAAAAATGTCTAATGAACTTTCCTGACTGGGCTGACGGTTGAGAGCCTCACATCTCAGCCTCCTGAGGATTATAGGTGTGGGCTCTCATTGCCTGCTTTCTTTTTTAAATTATTATTATTTGTGTACATGTGTGCATGTGCCAGTTAATGGGCCTGGAACTCCTGGCCTTAGGGCCTTGCTCAATTTTTTTTTTTTTTTTTTTTTTTCCTGGGACCTGAATTCTGGGCCTGGGCGCTGTCCCTGAGTTCTTCAGCTCAAGGCAAGCCCTCTACCACTTGAGCCACAGCGCCACTTCCAGATTTTTCTGCTTATGTGGTGCTGAGGAATTGAACCCAGGGCCTCATGCATGCAAGGCAGGCACTCTACCACTGAGCCACCTTCCCAGCCCCTTTGCTCAATTTTCTTGCTCAGAGCTGGGGCTCTACTAATTGAGCCATGCCTCCAGTCTGTTTTCCTGGTTAATTGGAGATGGAGTCTTTCCTTTTCTTTTACTTTTTTTTTTTTCTTGTCAAACATGTGAATTCAAGGCCTGGGTGCTGTCTCTGAGCTCTTTTGCTCAAGGATAGCTCTCTACCACTTTGAGCCACTGCTCTATTTCCAGTTTTTCGGTGGCTAATTGAAGATTAAAGTCTCATAGGCTTTCCTGCCTGTGCTGGCTTTGAGCTGGGTCCTTCATATCTCAGCCTTCTGAGTCACTAGGATTATAGGCATGAGCCACCAGCACCTGGCTCACACATACTTTTCTATCCCAACTTGCTTTGTACTTCAATCCCCCCATGTCTCAACCTCCTGAATAGCTACATTACAGGCATGATCCAAGGAGACTTCTTAAAATCCTCCTTCAGAAAATGGTGCTATGGCTCAAATGGTAGAGTGCTCGCCTTGAGCTGAAGAGCTGAGGGACAGCACCCAGGCCCAGAGTTCAAGCCCCACGACCGACCAAAAAAAATCCTCCTTCAGAAAAATAAAGTAAATTAAACCTGTTAACAACCTAGTATAATTGCCATTATTTCTACATTTAGCTGCCTGGTATCAGGCACGCACATGCGCTTGTGCACGTGTGTGTGCACACACACACGCACACCTATTCTTCAGAACAAGTTTAATACGCTTTCCTGCAATTTTGAAAGGTCATGATAATAGTTGGGTTATCATCAGATAGACATCAAAGCTTTTCCATTCTGCCTCCATTCATAAAAGCTGACACTTGAGTGGTTATATCGTCTTTCAGATTATTTTTTTAATGTAGTGAATGGGTTATGGAGAGAGAACAAATGAGAATGAAATTCAGTTATTCTTAAAGCCTTTTCCCCATTCTAGGGACTCTGAGATCATGCAGCAAAAGCAGAAGGCAGCTAATGAGAAGAAGTCAATGCAGACAAGAGAAAAATGATGACTGGCTCTTTGGAAAACCTGGGTGCTACTGCCATTGGGGTGCATCATAAGCTCTAAGATCAAGATTTCTTAAGTATACAGTCATTATCCGTGTTATAACTTATCCTTATAAAACTGTCTATTTTAAACTTTGCTTCTCAATTTGACCAAGTGTTATGCATTAAAACCATCTTTCAAAAATTAAAACACCGACCATGCATGAATTCTACTTGTGAATATTATTTTTTATCAGCAGTGAAACGTTATATAACTTATTAGATAATGAGAATCAGAGTAGGGACTCCTATGTAAACCTTGTTTCATAAACTTCATTAAACAGATCTTTTAACGTGAATCTTACAGACTGGGAAGGTGGCTCAGTGGTAGAATGCTTGCTTTGCATGCATGAGACCCTGGGTTTGATTCCTCAGCACCACATAAGAAAAAAGCCGGAAGTGGTGCTGTGGCTCAAGTGGTAGAGCGCTAGCCTTGAGCTGAAGAGCT